TGAAAATGTGCATTTGCTCCCATCCAACCTGACAGAGCTTGAGAGGTGGAGAGGTGAGGTGAAGAATGGCAGATAATTGCCAAATGATGATGATCAAAGCTTGTCGCATTAAACAAAAAAGACTTGAGACTGTAAAGGTGCTTCAGCTAAATATTTAGTTAAGGGTATGAATACTTATGCAATGTACTTATTTCAGTTTTTTTATTTTTAATAAATTTACGAAGTTGTGACAATTCTGTTTTTGCTTTGTCAGTATGGTGTATGGAGTGTAGCTTGATGTGGAAAAAAGTAATTTAAAACAGTTTAACATAAGGCAGAAACGTAACAAATGTGAAAAAAATTAATACTTTCGCAAGGCACTGTATACACACACACACACACACACACACACACATATATATACTGTATATATTATATTAATAAATATATTACATATATTAATACATACATAATCTATATTAATCAAATAATGCTTCTCCTTATTTTTGCAATGATTAAGATATGACACTTTCATCTTGCAGAATAATACGTTAACTCTAAAATAGCATGTGCTAAATGTTTTCAAACAATGACATGACAAATTTAACCACCACATGATCAATAAAACACTTCTATCACAATTAGAAATGTTTTTTTTTCTTAAAATACATTAAAACATCAGTGCATTATCATCAAACTGCTATCATTAAAAAATATTAATGTATACCTCATCCCTCAAAGACTCCCAAAGACATTCAAAGCACTTTGAAAGGACAGAACGTTTTTGTTACTGATCACTTTTGCTCTTTTCTTTTGGTTTGATAAATGAGCTTTGCTGGACTGCTATTAAACTGGCTGTCTAACTTTCTAGATGGCAGCCAATTTAAAACCTGTATAACAACCTCTGAGATTTGACCCCGTCAAGACACATGTATGCAATAATTCATAATCTGTGCAATAACGATTCTGACCTCTTCATGAATTAAAATGAGACTGATGTTTTGGGGAATTCACTGAGATACTTGAATCAAAAAAGCTAGAAGAAAGGAAAAATAGTGACTGAGCCAAGTTTAATGAGTATTATCTATTTCTTTTCTGGGCTGCCTGTTTCATTAACATTGAGAACATCTATTTTTATCATAACAGTGTAGATGGTTTTTATCTCCCTGAAGTGGAATATTTGATGTAGCCATGGATACCATGGATATGTAAAAGCAATGTGTAAACACTAATGAGAAATAATTATGACAGGATGATTAGAACTCAGTAGTTCTCATTATTTCTCAAGGCCCACAAACACTTGTACAACCGCTTTGTGAGCCATCTGTTGTGCTTGTTTGGTATCTATGGGTGGGTTTAATTTTGTATTGATGATTTCATTTTGATTTGGGTTCTGGTACTGTCACAGTTGGCAAAATAACAAGTCTGATCTCACTCAGGGGAGAAGAGAAAACGTTCAACATCAGCAGATACTGTAGATGTCCCACAGACAGAAAAACTTACACCATGTTTAGTCATGTCCACATATATGAGGTCACTGTTCCCTAATGGGTGCACAGCAACAAAATACATACTTTCCATATCATACACATCCAGCCAAATGCTAATGGAAACGCCTAAAATACTTCATGCTTACAATAAAAGAAATGTGGGTTGCATTGAATCTAATAATTTGGAAGAGCTTATGTTTGTCTGAGCCATGTGTACCTGTTCCTGACACGGTGAGCTGTGACAAAGATTGAGCCCTGCTTGCAACGTGTTCTAATCCCATTTAATCAACAATTTACTGATTAGGGCTAAACAATATTGGGACAAAAAAAAAAAAACCTGACATAGCGACATTTTGTTTTCATTCAGTATATAATGTGATATTAAAAATACAGGAATTCTTACCAGATTAATACTTGGAAAGAAAGAATCATTCTAGATTTTGTTGGGGAGTGCATCTGCAGAGAAAAAAAATTAATAATAATAAAAAAACTTTTAGTGTAAATCCCACAGCTCGGATTCAGTGCAAACTAACATGGTGGCACCCATCACCCATTATAGATCAACTAACATGGTCATTATAAAGGTGTTTAAGCTACCAAATACATTTACTTACACGTATTTGAGAATCGGAATATCAGATATTTCATAATATAGTAAACATATTTGTGAATATTTTGAGTAAAAATGAAATAAAAGTGATACACCGCTATTGTGGCTGCGGTATGTCATGTGACAAACACGATGCGTGGAAACAGTAAAGCGATACATTCTAAAATAATGCTGCGTTCAAGTCCTCCTGGGACGTTTGCACTTACGAGTTGACATTCTAATTACGACGTCAGGTGCGTTCAAGTCTCTTTGGTCGGAACAAGATGACGATTTAACTTTTCTACATAAAATTCAACGATTTTTTAAAAATCTAAATCTACAAAATGATGAATAAAAAATGTGCATCATTGTGTTTTTGCTTTTTTCTGTTTTTATTCCATTTATAAAGGTGATGTAAACTGAATCATTATATATTCTATGGTAATTAATATTTCATACATGTAACTTGAAAATTACACGTTCAACAAATTTACTGTCAAAACAGATGCTGGATATCTATAGTCTTTGGCTGCATCCATTGCATCCGACATGTTTTTTTACTGACACGCACCCAACTCATATGCGTTCAACTCGTAATACGATCTATCCGGCATGACTTGAACGCACCATTACTGTTGCCTAAAAAACTCACAAACTTTGCATTCATTGAACGACAATATAAAATCCATTTACTGTGGCAAACACTGCTCACAATAGCATGAAATAGCATGACATGAAAGCCAATCAGTGATTTCTGCCCGGTGGATAGTTACGTGAAGTAGAAAACACTGGCTGTTACTGTCCGGTTCACTGTAACTGATAAGGCCTTCGTGGTCCAGCCATCCCTCTGGCATTCACGGGAGCCAGAATCTAATTATTTTCCCTGCATGGTCCAATGAGCCCTAAAGGTTAATTATTGTCTGTCTGCATGATACCCGACTGCCAGTGCACAATAAAAGCTGTTAGTCGCTGCAGATAGCAGCTAATGTCAGACTGTGTGTATCCAAGTGGCCGACATGAGTTACCAGGTGCAGTCATGAGGAGGATTCTATAGGAAACTTTCTTTCTGGCTTCATTTACTACGAAGACTAGCATGTTTGCTTTGTATTGCAGTGAAAAAATACTTCATAAAATATTTTCAGGGTAACTGACAACATGTAACAGATGCTCAGTAGAACATAAGTTGCATTGAACATGGAACAAAGCTACAAATTTTCCTTTTCCTTCTGAGAACAGTGATAATGCTAACATTCAGCCTAGCTTTACTTCGTCAGGCACAGCAGCTCCTCTTTAATCCCCTAAAAATACTGTCCTTCACTGGGCTGTTGCAAATTCTGGCCGATTTAGACAGCATCTGTGTGCTGTCCGTTCCCATGCACGTCATTGTTTAATTTAGTTTGTATATCAGAAAGAAGGCAAAAAACAGCAGTGACAGCTGGGGCCTTCACCAAATAATACCTCTCTTTCTCTCCTTTTCAATCACTAACTCTCTCTTTCAAGGAATACTTAGTCAGTAAACATGGAGGTCAACAGTTTTGAATCCTGTTGAACTTGAGTGAGGGTTGTGCACACGCAGATATGCAAGGCATACAGGCAGCTATCTATCTATCTATCTATCTCTTTCCATCTGTCCGTCCATCCATTGATGGCTTATTAAACTTTAAGTTTCAAGTTTAAAAATGGTCTTGACTCACTTTGCATTTCTAGTTAAAAATGACTCTTATATGAGTTTCTTTGAATTGCAATTCTGCAATAACTTTTTCATTTAGAGTGTGACAGGACCCTCAACAAGGCAGGGTTAAAGTGAAGAAAGCCTAATTAGTTTAAATTAAAAACATTAGAAGTCTACGGAGATCTTTCCCGTGCATAGCTGTACATGTTTGTGTGTATGTGAACGTACCTTGCGTGAGCAGCTGCAGAGTGCGGACCTCTTCTCTGACACGGAGCTGGAGGACCTGCTGTAGGATGTACTGTCTCTGACTCTCCTGCATGATGCCCATACGCTCCAACTTCCGGTCAGTGAGCCTCATCAGAGCTCGACCTGCACACACACAAACATATGAACATCAAACCAAGCTGGGCTGTACAAAGAAAAAAAAAAAAGACAAATTGCACATTTATAACACATAAAGAATAACTGTACTTGCCATTTATAAAGAGCTATTATAATGCCCTTGTGGAAAAACAGATTGTGTATTGTAATAACCTACATTAAAAGAACCTAAGGAGAATATATTGTAATTAGTGAAACGAAATAGCCTGGAATTTTTTCCTCCAGCTAGAAATATGATCAAGGTCAGATGAAGTTCACTGTCATTTTTAATCATCGCCTCACAAATATTCTCCTCATATCTGTGCTGATAAAAGTCATAATAGTGCCTGTCAATGCCCCAGTTAACAGCTGCCATTTGTGCACAATAAAGTTAAAGCCATTGTACCATCTCACACAACGCCTTGAAGTAGCGAAGCAGAAAGGCTACTAATGCATTTACACTGTGATGGAAATTGTTAATTCGGTTGTTTTTCGTGAAAGAGACCAAACACTGCATCATTATCTACAGAAAGGACGTTATTCAGATGGAGCATAGTACAATTTTCAGTGATTATGTTGCATTATGAGTGTGGATGCTCTGCTCCTGTCACTTGCTCCCTCTCTCTCTTAATGGTCATGTCATGTGTTTAAATCGAATTATGTCTCCGGTGAAGAGGAAAGCTACGTAGAACTGAAAAAAATTCACTGAAAGCTAGCCAAACAAACAATTTAGCTGACCCTTATCCACTGGAGAGCATTTCATGTGCTAATGCAAAAACCGGAAATTAAAAGGACAAAGGGGAACACACAGAAAAATTAAGTACCACTGTTTATCAGTAAATGACAGGGCAGCCTGTAAAAAGTCAGTAAAATTACAATAATTAAAAAGGCAAGAAACATATGTTAGAAAATTGGAAATAAAATAATACATGTAGTAAGCTTTATGATTAAAATATGCAATAAAAAAATGGGGAGAAGAAAAAAAAAAAACAACACTTCAGGGCACAATATCCTTTTTTCACTGGTCCACTGGTTCAGATTTCTACTGTCCATGCCAATAATTTCTGGCCCTATCACAAATTATAAAAAAAGAAGTAATATCTGTATTTTATTTGTATGAAAATACATACATTTTAAAATTCAATTCAATTAATTGTTTAGTAAGAATTATTTTCACATTTATCTAATTTTCCTACATCTATAAATATGTGACTATCACAGTTATAAATTCACGCACTTGCTGGAAAATTATAGATAGCATATGGTAATTTGTTTTTAAATATTCAAACCATTCTAACTGATATAGATCACAAATCACTCAGCAAAACCGCCTCTCTATATTATAATAATAATAATTATGTTACATTGGTGACATTTAAATGAGTATAATTAGCAACAACAATATTCACCACATTACAAAAAGTCAAATGTTTTAATCTGCAAGGCATAAAACAAATATACATGATCATCAAACGTCTCAACACAGTAACTGACTCCAAATTTACACTGGCCCTCCGTATTGTTGAGTCCTGCGCTAGATACATTTTGTGAACATTTTATTATCTTATGTAGTACTGTTTCTCTGTTAAATTTAAGTGATTTGACATTCATATATATTTCTTTGGAAAAAAGTCCGATACTAATGAAGAACGAGATTCTTTTAAAGTAAAAACAGATGTTCATGGCATTTTCTTTAGAGTCATTTTATAGGACAGCCTACAATAAAGCAATATAAGAACAAAAAAATCCTTTTTCATGCGTCTGATCAACTCAAACTGTATCACATTTTGATGCCATCTATATTTCTAAATAGAATATTGAGGCGCTATGAGCACAGATGGGGCCTCTTTAGTCACGGAACATTAGAAGCAGAAAATTGGAGTATGTGTGAGGCGTGTAGGTTGAGGTGATCGGGGTAAGGTATTTCAGTACGTTGGTAGAGTGCCAAACTACCCCTTCATTTGGCAGCATTTGGCTGAAACGCCTCAATGAGGAACAGAAACTCAGCGTGCCTTCTCTCTGAATCACTGCCATAAGTGTTTCACTGAGAAGATGAGTCAAAGCCTGGTTAAAGAAGAGAAGAGAGTGTGAAAACAGGAAAGAAAGAAAATAAGAGCGGAATACATATACAGATGGGAAAAGAGTTACAAATGCAAGTGCATGAGAAGAAATGGGAAAGGTGCTATTCTAAATAAATAACTGTCCAACCAAAACATTTGAGATGTTTCTTAGATGTTACTTAGCAGGAAAAACTGGTCACTGGGTAACAGCCGCCTCAGCAAGATAAGGATGCAAAAGAATTTAGTCTGGTAGAAAACAAAAAAGCATGAATTATTGTCTGCTATAGACACAAGATATGTTGGCCATCTATTGCGCAAATGACATTACACATAGTGCTTCACTTAAAGATGATTCAAAATAGAAATATCTTCTAATATTTTAGTTTTTTGAGACTATTCCCAAAAACCATATTGAAAGCTAGCTTAACAAAACAATCTGCAAAATGCAAAAACTGACTATTTCTGTAAAAGGACAAAGAAGGACAAAGAAATTTATTACAACTACTGCGCAGTCTGTAAAAAATTTTTTAATTGTGAATGTATTACTATTTGTAATGGAATATTAAATAATTATAATAAAAATAATGAGAAATTAAATGTGTTACATGCTATAAAAAATATGCAGCCTGTGCATCATGTGTTTGTTTGCTCTGAGTGGTGAAAATGGCCTTTTCATGTTTTAATGACCGTTAAAGTCTCTTCCCACACCTTACAGTAGGAGCTGAGCCAGGTGTCAGTGCAAACACTATCACTGCAGTTTTCTTTGTTCACGTTCCTGTGTCTACTTATCTTTGTGCAACTGACAGAGAAATGGTTTAAAAAAATTAACAGCATCTTGGATTTCAGCATACTGATCAGCCGGAAATCACGCTCCACACTTGGCTTCTTCTGAATACCGTTGTGACTGTTATCCAGTACTACTACAATAACCATTTAACAAAGGCTACAAGCTCAAATCAGTGCCTAAAAGATACATACACATAAAAACCAAAAGGTCAAGGTTTAGCAGGTTAGCATGAAGCAGTCAGCAGTTATTCAAAAGTAGTAGATGAAATGGTTTGCAAGCAACATTTAAAATCACAAACATGTCATTATATTATAGGAGCTGCAATCCACATATGTGAGACATTAGGGCAGATAAATTCACTCTCCTTCTCCCTCCGGTTTCTGGACTGGCATACTTGTCTTCAGTCCTGATGAATGGATTAGCTTAAAGCTCTCTCTCCCTCCACTGTCACTCTAGGGACCTGTCCCTTTTACATGTGAACCAAAAGCCTGGCTAATTACTGCTCCAACAACCAGGAGGGATGACAGACAGAAAGAGAGAGCGAGAAGGGGGCTGGGGTGGCTCTGGGGCCTATAAAGATGGAAATTAACCTCAATTTCTCTGACAAAACTCTCATGGTGAACAAGCAGGACTGTACTTGAGAAACACTGAGGCTGCTTGGACTGGTGAAGGAAACTCCTCAGGTGATACTGTAGCATACTTCACATAGTTTAACCTCAGCTGCATTCATGAGTCCCAAGAGGACCTTTCATACTCTCATTCTTTCTGTCACACATACACACACATATAGACACACAACCTGGCAGGCTCGCTAGCCCCTCAAACTATCGCAGAGCCTGAGTGCATAGCTGCCAAGTACGTCCCTACGCAGATCCATACAGAGTACCATCCAACAGGCAAGATTATGCTGCAAAATTACCTACTTTACATGGCAGAGGACCAAATACTATATGAAAAATGCCAGTGAGAATTTGATGCTGTAAATCTGATGCTGAACAGAACGTTCTGCTACATTTACTTGGAAAAAATTTTATATATTATTTTCTATATTACATATATCATCAAATGGTGAAATGTCAAAAATTCAGCATTTCAGCATTTTTCAATGTTTTTTTTTTTTATGTAGTAAAATAGTATTATAAAGAAACCTTTACATTGTTCTCATTAAAATTACTAACATTTATAAAGTAAAACATTTGGTTTGGACCTGGTAAGTATAAACATTGTCAGTGAAGTTCATGCAAGTTCAGAAGGATTGATGTATGAAGGTTCATTCACCTGTTTCAGTCACATGACTTTTCTGTTCAACCTCCATATAGTTATATACAGAAATATAAGCCTAAAGTACAAGTGTAGAAGAAAAAATACGAGGTCAAGTCCTGCAACGGCTTATCTTCAGTGTTCCTAAAGTTCCTAGGACATCCCTAGGACAACTTAAGTCCAAATCACTTGAAGTAGATTGAACTGTTATCATTATTTGGACTGTCCTGTTGCTGAGCCCATATTGATCACTAGATAAGAGGACAATGGCATTTGGCATTTAATCAAAAGAGGGCAGATAGTAAGAGTTACAGGGATGAATAGAACATAAGGAGAGAAAGAGAGAGAAAGACACCGATGATTAGCGATGTGCATTTGTGCTGGCAACAACCCCACACTTGATTGTGAACGTAACTTCTACTAAATGACTTCAAGGAGGAAAATCAGCATAATTTTAAAGCGGTTTAAGTGTGTAAATGTAAAATACGTTCTCATATCCCAGCTTAATATGAAAAGACAGCCGTAAGTAAGTCATCTGCAGGCACTGAGGCGATATCAAAGCATTGCTTTTTTTGTTTGAGGATCCCGACCAGCCTGAAGTGGCTCAACCAATGGTGTGAGTTTGGGGGTGGGGCTTGTGCTTGTTAGACCAATAGCAGACGAGGGCAGTTTTTATCTAGAAACCTGTTTGACAATAATTGTTGCAATACCATTTGGTGGCTCTAGTGATGCAGAAATTTCACATTAGCACATTCTGATTTTACTCTGAAAAATGTGAAAAAAATAAATTTTTTTGAAAAAACTAAAATCAGTCAACTGGGACTTTAGCTATGTGACCACCAGAGTGGCAAACCATTATGAATGAGCAGTCATAACATACCATGTCTTTCACATGACATACG